CGTTGTGTGGACGCGTGCAGGGTTAATTTGATTTAACGCTGCTAAATTCGAATTATTCCCTTAGTGTAGACCATGCTTTAGATATCCACAAAACTCAGGGCTGCTCAGTGGAGGCCAGTACATCAGAAAGTGAGGAGGGAAAACTGAGTCTCAGTGCCTTAGTCTGCATCAGTTCATTGCAGCATAGATAGAGGAGGCTGTTCCTCCATCAAATCAGAACAAGGTAGGGTTTCTACATTGCTTACCCTGAGGAGTGTCTGCTGTAGATTTTGGGGACCATTTTCCTCTTCCAGTGCTCCAAAAGGGAAGAAGAAAGCAGCAAGTCACATTGGATTAGTCAAAATGTTTGTCAACATTTTTTCAATGGAAAGTCATTTTGAATGAACCTAAAATTCTCACAAACTATTGCTTTGTTTGAAGGTTTGATATTTTGATGAAAAAATTGAAAACATTCTTTCTGTTTTTGTTGTTTCAGCTAGAAAATGTTTTTGTTTCTGTTTCAAAAACCAAAAAAGGCTGGGGTTTGATTTTTGGGGTTGGGGGAGGAGGGGTTATCCTCATTTCTCTCTCTATTGTATTTTCCCCTTGCCCCAAAGGGGAAAATATTTTTTCAGAAGGGAAGAGGAACAAAAACTGAATCAACCCCCAAAATGTTTTCAGTTTTCAAAAATTACAATGAAAATTTTCAAATTTTGAACAGTCAAAGCAACAATCTTCATTTCACCTTTTTTACTGAACATTCTAAAAAATAAAACATTACAATTTCAAATAAATAAAATAGTTTTTATTTGAACATGTTCACGGAAATAGATTGATATATTTTTGACCAGCTCCACACTTATTGGCCAAAATCTTCCGAAGTGGCCGCTGATTTTGCATGACTCATTTCTGACTAAATAGCATTTTTGATGGGAAAATCTTTCTCAAACACTTTGACCAGCTTTAGTCAACAGCACTGCAGGGCAAGTCCAAACAGCTTCTTAGCCCTTTGTTTTCCCAGATCCTCAACTAGTATAAACTGACATAGCTGCACCTGAGTCAATAAACTGTGCCACCTGGGGATATGAGCCTTAAACTCTTAATCATTTTCTTCTTAAAATGAAATCATACTTTTCACCCTTTCTGTGTCAAAGGAGCTGCTATAAGTATATGTTCTGGTTTGATATGGCATTGGGGAATAGCTCCCATGAGCTCCTACTCAACCTGAATTCTGACCTAATCTTTCCCTCCCCAGGCAGACAGTGATGCATTGTAAAAAATGTGAAGGCATTAGGATGTGAGACCATGATCTAGCTGTCAAGTCTGTAGACCACCTTTGAAGTCTGGATTAGATCATGTGTGCAAATGAGTTTAGTGGCTTCCATTCAGCTACATAACCATACAAATCAGGCCACTTACTAGTCATAATGTCAGTTTTTGCAACGTCTTCCTTATGAAAAACACAGGAATAGCTTCAAGCATTACATTCTACTGTAGAGGTGTTCCAGGGCTAAATGTTTCTTGGAGGTCTGTCATCCAGGTCAAAACCTACACTGTTTGAGATTATTATTGTAGTGCCCTGGAGATTATGGTTAGGGATCAAGATCCTTCTGTGCTAAGAACTGTATACACATAATAAAACGGTCTCTGCCCCACAGCGCTTACAATCTGCATAAAATGAGGGAACAGGTGTATATAAAACAAATGTGAAGAAGGACAAGGAAACATGAGATCCCAGCAGGAGATGGGATAGTTCAAAGTACAAAGCATATCCATCGTTAGCTTTCTAAAACAGTTGTGGATCCTCTGCTTGACAATTTAGTGGTTGCCTAGATAAGTGATCACAGCTTAATTACATTTGTTATGTGCAATATAGTGCTGACAAGTAATATGTAAAGTCACTTGGCGCTCTAAAAGGCACAATTTCCCAAGGCTGAAACAATTATAAGCAAAATTGATGGGAGGAAACATTTAAACAAAAAAGTGTGAGTGAAAATTGGGAGTTAAGAGAACTTCTCCAGATGCCCACAGCCTACAATTCAACAATCATCGAAGAAGGCTTCTGCAGTTAAGACATCCTGATTAAGCAGAAATGAAATAATATATAATATACATCAAATCAACTTCAAATCGTTTATTGATGATATTACAACTTTGCTTGACAAAGGTAACTGTATTGACATCATAGACTTATAGGAGGCATTTTTACTTAGTTCCATGTGACTTTCTGATTTAAAATATAGCACAATTCAAGAATCAATGTAGTCCACATTAAATAGTTTAAAAAGTGGTTAATTGTTAGATCTCAAAAGTTCATTGTAAATGGGGAATTAATATCGCATGGGCGTGTTCCCAGTCCTGCTGCAATCTGTTCTCAGACCTGTGCTATTCAATATCTCTTATCACTGATCTAAAACAAAACATAAAATCATAGCTCGAAAGTCTGTAGATAACAAATTGGCGTAGCGGTAGATGAATAGAGCTTAGTGACCTTTTTTGACAACCTTTTTGCAGGGAAAAATGCAGATTTGGCAGCACTAAAACATTTTGCAAATTTGTACTGATTTTTGTCAAATTATTTTGGTTGAGGAAAAAAAACCCTTCAAAAATTCCAAAAAAATCAAAACATTGGGTTTTTTTCTGTTCCAAGCAACTTTGTTTCTAAATGTCCTTTCATTTTGTTTAAAAAATGCTTAAAATGGAAATATGTTGTTCTGGGGTCAAAATATGTTCATTCAACCTGAAACAATTGTTTTTTCACTTGTCAACCAACAGAAAAACTGTTGTTGAGCCAGTTCTATAAATGACAGGTCAGGTCTACAGAATGTTCTGGATTGTATAGTAAACTGGATGCACTTGAACATGTGTTTAATATAGTTAAATACAAGTCTATACATCTATGAACAAATAATGTAGATCAGGAGTCGGCAACGTTTGGCATGCGGCTCGCCAGGGTAAGCACCCTAGCGGGCCGGGCCAGTTTATTTACCTGGTGACGTGGCAGGTTCGGCCGATCGCGGCCCCCACTGGCCGCGGTTTGCCGTCCCGGGCCAATGGGGGCAGCGGGAAGCCGCGGCCAGCACATCCCTCGCCCGCGCCGCTTCCCGCTGCTCCCATTGGCCCGGGACGGCAAACCGCGGCGAGTGGGGGCCGCGATAGGCCAAACCTGCCACGTCAGCAGGAAAATAAACTGGCCCAGCCCGCTAGGGTGCTTACCCTGGTGAGCCACGTGCCAAACGTTGCCGACCCCTGATGTAGATTATACAGGCTGGGGGACAGTAACACAGAAAAGGATGTAGGGGTCATGGTGAATAACCAACTGAAGATGAGTTTGGGGCTAAGAAAACAAGTCCATGCAATCCTTCCATGTATAAGCAGAAGAATATTGAGTAGAAGTAAGGTGGTGATATTACCAGTGTATATATCATTAGAGAGACCATTACTGGAATTTTATGTTCTGTTCTGGTATGAACAATTCAAAAAGGATGTTGCTAAGCTGGAAAGGGTTCAGAAAAGAGCTACAAGAATGATCTGAGGTCTGGAAAGCCTGCCTTACAGTGAGAGGCTAAAGAAGCTCAATCTAGTTAGCTTAATAAAGAAGGTTGAGAAGTAACTTGGTCATTGTCTATAAGTACCTACATAGTCAGGGCTTTTTAATCTAGCAGAAAAGGGTATAACAAGAAGTTAAATCTAGACAAATTCAGACTATAAATAAGGCACAATTTTTTATCTGTGAGGGTAAGGAAACATTGGAACAACTCACCTAGGGATGTGATGGATCCTCCATCACATAAAACCCTTAAATCAGGACTGGTTATCTTTCTAAAAGGTATATTCTAGCTCAACCAGAAGTTATAGGCTTGATGAAGAAATCACTAGTGAAATGTTATGGCCTGTGTTATGCAGGAAGGCAGAGTAAATTATATTAATGGTTCTTCTGGACTTCATGTTTATGATCTATGAGAATTCAGCATGATAAAGCAAGCCCCCACATTCACTAGAAATATTTTTCTCTCTCGAAGATACTTCTTCTATATTCAGAAAGCATGCCACAGTCAAGGATTTTTGGTTTTTTGTTTTGGTTGGTCTATTACTGACTTACCTTTTTAATTAACTGTGAAAAGGGGTGTCTGAGTGCAAGCTGTTGACATACAGTATATTTTTTGATCAGAAACAGAAAACCTTCCTGAATCCTTCTTTTTCTTGGGCTCCTCAAGCAACCTAGCCCATAAAAGAGCGCCACCTATTCTATAGCCAGCCCTGACTCCCACATAAGTATAACTACATCAGAGAAATAAAATGGATGCTGCACTTGAAATCTGTCTTTAGACTGAAACACTTTACTCTGTTTTCAGAGGTAAACTTGGCACACACCCAAAGCAAAGTATCGACTACAAGATATGGTGCAATTGTATACACTTCTGGTATGACCTCATATATTCCTATCTCTAGCGCTCCCTGTTCTCTTTAGAAATCTGGGGCAGGAGTTAATCATTTTATTCCAAGCTGCAAGTCAACTTGCCTCCTGGCTGGGTTCCCAATCCATCTCCATTTTGTTCCTGGGCTGCAGCCAGTAGGCTTTTATTTGAGATATTGTTTCCCTAATTCCTATCCTCGTGTCCTATCATAAATCTACGTCAGAAATGCTGCCCTCCTCCCCCAAAACGCTTATTCTTTTATTCACTTCTAATAGCATCTAGTGTAAACAAATATTTGAATTTTTGTATCTAAAATATATCACAAACACAGATAATCTTTATACCGAAACAAGAGTTTGAAATGACTATTTTGCCATTCAGCCAGTATTCGAATGAGAACCATTCAGAATACTCTGTCTCACCATGTAAAATCCAAGAGTTCTTTTTAAATTACATGCTATCAAACATCAGATATGAACACAGGGATATAGTTTGATTGGTAGATGAACAAGACTGGTCTCTAGTTGAAGGATTAGAGTCAAATAATTGCATGTCTCTTAAACACGGTTAATTCTAATAATGCTGTATATCTTTCCCACATAGCCCAATACTAAAACGAAGCCCTGACATCACCAAATCACCACTGACGAAGTCAGAACAACTTCTGAGAATAGATGACCATGATTTCAGCATGAGACCAGGTTTTGGAGGTATGAAACCCATGCATTTGATTCTTATTTTTTGGAGTATCTTTTCTGTAAGAAATACTGTACAGAACAGTGTCTCACTGGTGAGTGGACTGACAAAAGAGAGATTGGAAAGAACTGTTCGTTGAGAAAGACCATCCTTGTTTCTGTTCTGAATTTACAGCTAGGGTGACCAGATGTCCTGATTTTATAGGGACAGTCCTGATTTTTGGGTCTTTTTCTTATATAGGCTCCTATTACCCCCCACCCCCGTCCCGATTTTTCACACTCGCTATCTGGTCACCCTATTTACAACACAGCACGTTCTCATGACTGAGGGGGCTTACAACAACATGGCCTTCCTCCTAGGATCACCAAATAACTTTCAGCAAAACCATGAGACTAAGCTTATGCCCAAATAAATCTGTTAGTCTTTAAGGTGCCACCAGACTCCTTGTTGTTTTTGTAGATAGAGGCATCATTTATGGATTTTAAACTCCTCGTATTGAGCTGTACCTGTGACTGGTAAAAATATATCCAGGTTCAGTTAACATTTATTTCTAGATTACTGTGAAATATTAAGGTTATATCTCACTATGACAATGTTTGTGTGTAATCAACTAATTTACAATACTTGCTGACCTTGTCTCTTATTATAAACTAAGAGAATATTTAGACTACTTTGTGTTAATGTTTTGCTCACAGTCTTGCAGTCGTATGCGACAGCAAACCAAGCTTTTAGAGCAAAGGATTAAGAAGACTGTGCTTTCTTATGACCCGCTGGATTAAAGAATGTTGTAATTTATCTACCCTTCCTGGCTGACAGATGGTCATACAAATCCAGGATACCATTATACATCCTGATGGGAGAAGCTTTTATTACCAAATGCTTGATATACACAATACCAGTATGTTCAGTTCATTTTAAAATGTCTGCAGTTTCAGGACAGTCCATTAATATTGCCATTATTTATTATAATAAATATCTTGTACTGTAATTGCCAAAGGTATACAGTGGCTGGTCAAAGTCTGGAGGAGGAAGAGGAAGTACAGCAGTAAAACTATAGAAGAGTCTGTGTATGCATTTAACACATCCTTATTAAATGCTAGACATCTAAAAAACAGAAGTGTTTGGTACTAGCTGGCATGTCCATTAGCAGTCTGAGATGAGAAGGCAAGTAATGACATACGGAAAAATCCACTCACTCGTAGAGATAGCCCATCCCTAAATTTGCCACTACCCATACAATACCTATTCTGTGTATTAACAGAATGCTCTCCAGGGCTGTCAGACTGGCAGCATGTAGCACAAAGAAATTAAAAAAAAAAAACATTCAAACATACAGAATAAGCACACCATCCCCCCGCATGTGGGCAGATGTGCACTGCACAGAGCCCCATTGAAGTCAGTGAAGCACCACATGGGTGCAGGGGGTCCACTCACTTGGTTCTGACTGCATGATTAGATCCTAAAGAGAGCATAATCAACTAGATCCACAAAGAGAAATAGCTTAAATGTTTCTTACTATCTTCATGAAGGATTCGTTTTACCCAGGCCTCCTGCCTATGGAACTCCCATTGACTGGAGCGGGAGTTGTGCGTGCAGCTATATTGCCGGATAAAACTCTGTTTTATCTTGTACCTGAAGGATGCCATTTTCAGTTTATCAAAGGCCATAAATATTTGGTATGTTGAAGCAGTTCCAATGGTCAGTACTACATGTATTTACTCTTTGAATAAGTGGCAATCTTTAAAGGCAGTATTGTCCTAAGCATCAGCAGCTAAAAGGATCTTAAGGGGAGGACTGTGGGCACTCATTGCCCTTTCAAAAAAGGGTATAAGTGACCACAAAGGATTGGGAATGGGCTGTGGTTAAGGGCATAAGTGTCAACCGGGCATTTTCAGCCGTGTTCCATGCATGCAGCTAAGGGCTGTTGCTCTAGTGCCCAGGGCCGGCTCTACTTTTTTTGCCGCCCCAAGCAGCGCGCCGAATTGCCGCCGCGGACGGTGGGGGCAGTCCGTGTGCCGTTAGGGCAGCACGTGCGTTTCTGCCATGGCGGCAATTCAGCCACCAAATTGCTGCTGCGGGCAGCTGAACATAGAAGCTGCCGCCAAATTGCTGCCGCCGTGGAAACGTGCGTGCCGCCCTAACGGCACACAGACTGCCCCCGCCGTCCGTGGCGGCAATTCGGCACGCTGCTTGGGGGAGCAAAAATACACGGACTGCTGCCCCAAGCACCTGCTTGGAATGCTGATGCCTGGAGCCGGCCCTGCTAGTGCCTGCCTGAACCGTAACAAGTTCACCCAGTCATCTCACATCTATCCACTGGCGCACACAAATACCAATACCCTCAGCCTCTATTACACACTGATTAAAGGATCACCAAGCACACAGGACACCCTGGGCTGGAGTGAGACATGCAGCAGGGCTGGGAGGGAGACAGGCAGCTAATTGTGGTAGCTGGGCAAGAGGAGGGTATGGGACAGGCTTCTGGGAGCGTGGAAGGAAAGCAGGGATGTGGTTTTGGTTTGAAGGGGGATCTCAGCCAATGAAGGGCTGCTGCACAGCCTACCTGTTGCACTGTTTCCAGGCCCAACTCCTTTTTAGGTGGTGAGGGAGAGGAGGAGTATGGCACTGCAGTAAAATATATCAGCCCTTTGGAACCTTCCTCAGCTGCATGGAGGTGTAATTGATACAGAGGTACAGACTCCTGAAGCCATTGTACACCCATATGATGAGCTAAGGAGGACCTGGAGAAGGTGGCACTATGGATACACTCTTTGTCTGTCTGTAGTGGTCACTTCTGCCACGGCACTTCCAGCCACTAGGCCTTCCAAAATACCGTAGAATAGTGGCTTTCAACCAGGGTCCAGGGATCTCTGTGGGTCTGCGAGCAGGTTTCAGGGGGTCTGCCAAACAGGATCAGTGTTAGACTCACTGGGGCCCAGGGCAGAAAGCCTAAGCCCGGCCGCCACCCAGAGCTGAAGCAGAAGCTGGAGCCATGGGGCCCTGGGCAACTGCCTGCTTGCTACCCTTAACACCAGCTCTGGCTTTTATATGCAGAAAAACAGTTGTTGTAGCACAGGTGGACTGTGGAGTTTTTATAGCATGTTGAGGGGGCCTCTGAAAGAAAAAGGTTGAGAACCCCTGTTGTAGTAGACACCAAGCATATCCGTGACTGCAGTCTTTACCTGTGTAAGATTTCCAGTTTGCTGCGATCAGGACGGGATCTGATTACATTGTAACCTGGAACCCTGCTGCAGGCTTTCACTCAGTTCTAGGAATTGCTCCAAGGGTGAACAATGCAGCCTTTAGAAGCAGGACATTGTTCTACACTGAACATGCTGGGTGTGCTGCCAGCCAGGTGCTTGTGAAAGGTTTCCAAGTGCCTGTCACAGCTCTTTTGTCCTCAACAACTCTGATGTCCCAGCATGGTTTGAGCGATAGGAGGTAGTTTCCCTCTGTGTGAATGCCTAGCAATGGTGAAGAGCAAGCCTTTTAGATACACAGAGAGCAATATTGGTTTACATTACACTTTTATAAAGTGTCACAGCCAGAGCACAGAAACAATGCTGCTCTGAGACACTCAGCGAGCCTTCACCAGGTTAACAGGGTATTGCTGGTGTATTAGGATACACTGTGACAATGTTGTATATGGCCAAAGTGATGGAGGATGCGAGGGACAAGGAAACCTAGGATCAGGGATCCCAGAGTGATTTGCCAGAAGGAGGTGGCTTGCAAGGAGAGTTTCCAGCATCTTTGAGCTCTCCTCTTAGAATCATTATAGACAGCATTATAGCCAACAGGTTTGTAGGAAAGGAGCCTGGAGGAACAGATTACAGGGCTGTAAGATTGCATGCTTCAGAGTCAGTTTAAATGGCTATGGTTATCACAACCCACTGGCCATTCAGAAATGGGCAGTAGGCCCAAGAGTGTATTAACATGACTGTCCTGTGACTCCTTGCAATGTGTTATACACTCTCCTGTCACGATCCTGGGCTCTTTAGCTGTTTATCTCTTCCGCCATATTTGTATTACACAACTGATTAGCACCTGTACTCCACTCCTCAGGGCTTTCAGTGGGGATGTTACACACGGTAACTCTAATTTTGTTCAGGTCAGACTATGAGGGTAACACACAACAGGTTGTGGTGTTTTCTCAGAGCATAGCCCCCATATTTCCCCCAGAGCTCTGAGAGCCATAGCCTTCAGAGAAGGCAGCTGGGACTCACCAGGATACCTCCTGCTGGCTGGCTAGCCTCTGGATTGGTTGCTTGGCCTCCCCTTCCTGATTCTTCAGTGTATGGCAGATCGCTCATTCTACCTGTTTGATTATTCAGATGGTTTGCAGAGTGGGAGCAGCAGAGAGGCCTAATCCTCCCTGCCCTCCATTACTGAATAGGATTTTTTTCAGGACACCAGCTGTGGGATCCACAGAGGGACTTATGTGTTGCAATGCTGAGCATCACAGCACCTAACTTTTGCACCTAGAAAATCACAGGAACACCACTACGATTCACAATGAATGAGGAGAGATAGGCACTAAGCATGCAATCCACAAAATGCCCACTTTTGTCAAAAAAAAACATGGGGTGCAGTGTGGAGGGGGTGAGCAGAGATGTCAGCCCCCCCAGAGGGAGGAGGCAGGGCTGGGGGTGGAAGCAGTGTTCCAGATGCAGGGGGCATCCCTGCAGGGTTCCAGCGACTGGACAACAGCCTCCTGCGGGGCCCTGCAGGGTTCCAGTAACCCGGCAACATCCTCGCGCAGGGGTTGTGTGAAGGGCAAGATTTCAGCAACGGGAAACAGCATGGGGCAGGGCCTCGGGCGAGCGGCTGGGGGTGTCCCATTTTCTCTTTGGGAAATATGGTCACCCTAACAAAAGCCAGCACACTGGGCGGGGAGCCATCTAAGCCAGCCAATGGGAGGTGCTGACGACAGAGTGCTGTGCTAAGCCACGCCTCTCTCATGAAGATGAATGCCTAAGTCCAGGCTGCAGAGAGGTGCCTAGCTCTGCTTAGCAAC